CATGCCGATCGGCCTTCAGTGGCCATGGTGAAAAAAGGAGCAAACTGTTGTTGGTCTCTCCAAACAAAAGAAAACAAGAAACCAGAGGTCTGGGATTGACACGCTTTGCTCCGAAAACTTGGCTCGCTTCCCTCGGGCTAGAAACCCCGCTCTGGGTCAGTTGCATCGGTCCGTCCGCACCCCGTAGAAGTTGGAAGGGTAACTTCCAAGACAAGTATCTCTCAGATCGTGGAACCCCCAAATGAGTCACAGTCAAAACCTGGTAAAGTGGTCTAATTAACCCAAAACCATGTAAAAACTGATGGGCGGCGCACCTCTTTGTGGTGGGGACTGGCCCATGCTAACCTTCGCTCAGGGTTCCCTGTTCTGAAAAGGAAACGGGAGCGCGTCACGAGTTTCTCCCAAGGACAAGGATAGTTGGCCGACCCAACACAACTTGTCCGCCAACCCTGTTCAAGGCAGGTCCCAACTGCGAAACTATTTTACAGCCTTTTCTCAAATGGCAAGACCCACAATTTTGCAAGGGGTTTTGTCCAGCCTCCCGTCATATTCAAGCAACCGTCGGCCTCGTTTTTTTCGTCTGTAAGATGTAGAACCAAGCCTCCTCTAGGTGTTCCAGTTCCTTTCCCCCAAAGTGTGGCAACCATCTTTTGGGATCTCCCTGCCTTCCAAAACCTTTGCAGGCAACCCGCCTTCAAGATGAGGAACCCGATCCTTTTTCCCAAAGGGGGGGACAAAGTCAAGCCATGGCTCCACCAGGACAGTGGGCTGCCCGCCCGGACCCGATCCTCAAACTGCCACCTTTGGGAGGCAAATCGCCTACAAGAAGGAGCCTCCAGGTCAGGGATATATTATGTATTCATCGACTGTCCCCAAATGAGTCACAATCAAAACCCGGTATTAAAATGGTCTACCCAGAACCATGTAAAGAATTAAGAAGGCGGCCGCAACTATTTCTGGCTGGGACTGCCCCTGACTAACCTTCATCTACCCGGTTTTTATTGTGGGCTCAAATGTTTCAGAAAGTGGCTTTGCGGTTTTTGGGCAGGTTCTTGGAAGGTTCGAGGTGCCCTTGGCACGCTCCTTCGGCTTATTGGGAGGAGTCATATCAAGATGGACCTGGACGGGATCGCCCCCACGGGGTGGACAGGTCATCCCTCGCTTCGGTGCAACCTTTTCCCTTAACCTAAGGCTCCGGCTGGCTGAATCCAGGCTTGGCGCTCTCCGCCGCTGAACCGCAGGGTTTGATTCCCTACTCTTCACTCACTGAGTGGCTTGCCCAAATCATGTCCCAGTTGTTGTTCACCACCATGGCCTTTTCTGAATTCGTAGGTCAAAAGAAACTTTGCAGGTGAGAGCACCTAATTACTTCTACTTCTCTTCCAATGGCGACATAAGAGGACAGCTCCAAACCGAACTTGGAACTTGGGCTAAGTCTTGGCTTTGGTTTCAGACTTGAGGCACTCTTTGGATTCCGCTATGTACGGGGCCGCTTTGGAACAGCTCTAAGCCTCACTGCGAAAGCTGTTTACTGCCCGATCCGTGCGAACCGCTTTCGTTGACCCCGAGACATTGCCGTTTGGAACTGAGGTGGCGCCGGCGTGCGGGGAGCATCTCAAAATGAGGGCGGCGTAAGAAGCGCAGCGCTCCTGTTGCAGGTGTTTGAATGACGAGGACCAACTAAGTACCCTATGGGGCGATCCTACTTTTGGAAACACCCAAATGAAATGCTGACTTCCCTTGACACGAGGCTGTTCTTGGCCTCCAAATCGAAACAAAGCAAACAAGGGACGTCTACTTGAGAATGCAGGCTGCAAGCTGCTTGGAAATCATTGATGGTAAGAACCGCCATATAGGGGACCTGCAACTACAGGGGGTACTGTAAGCTGCTTACGGTATGGTTGCCAGCGACTGACTACAAGGTTCCTTGTCGCAAGCAGTGTGCGACACAGCCGAACGGCACACAGGGTTATCCTGCCACAGTAGTCCCAGATCCCCCCGTGGCCATGGGAAACAAGGGCACACGTTGTTTTGGTTGCTGATTCAAGAAACACCGCCCTCTAAACATAATGCGAAAAGGACACCACTGGAGGTCTGGGTAGTATATAGAAAGAGGCAACTTTCAGTGCAACAAACATGAACCCATTAATTTGTGCACGTAGGGCAGGCATTGTCTGACAAGTGCACCCTGCACAAAATTACCTCCATCCCCAAGAGGACATGGGCATTTTCGGTTGTCCTAACCCCCTGCCTTTTTCGTTGTTTGAACCCCGCCCCTGACCCCCCACGGCGAGTCCCTTGGAAGAAAGGAAGCCCTACTAATTGGGAACCAACACAGGGGTGCGAATCATGGCACACATTCCCAACACTTCTGTCCCGAGCTCAAGTGATGCAAACCGGCAGCCCTAAAGTCAGCGGCCGGTTTGGACTTCAAGGAGTCAGTTCTCTTGGGCCTTGAGACCACAATTGTCTAGCCCGGTGGCTGAATTAAAAAAAAAAAAAAACACAAACACTGGTACGTTGGGCTCACCCCCCCCCAACAGAATGCAAGAGAACAAAAGAACAGCATGAGCATTGGGGAATCAATTGTGTGGTGATAAACAATCGGTTCAAACGGGCGTGAATGAGCTTTGAACATCACTCAAACCCTGGAAGATGGGGGACTGTACCTGATGTACCCAGACAATCTTGCTTGACGCACCCCGAAACGAGCACTTCTATGCAACGAGCACAATCCGCTTCCAATTGGCACCATGTTCGCCCATGCAAACGGGGGATAGCTCGCCCTTGGCTTTCCTGCGGATTGCCTTCTTGAACACCCTCCACTCAATGCAACTTGTTGGTGTTTGTTAACTGTCAAAGCTCAGTGCAATCCGGCTGGCTTGCCCGGAAGTTGCCACAAGCCGGTCTTGCCTCTTTGATTTTCATGGAGCGACCTCAAGGAAACAAGTGGGTGCCACTGGGCTCAAAGTTAGCTTCGACTTTCTGAAATAGTAGATGTTCTTAGAACTTAATCGGAGGTGTCTTGAGAACCTCTCGGGGGGAAGGGGGGGTTGGGGGTAGCACGCACCTTTTCATGCGAAGAATGCAGCTCCAATTCAATTCTCTGCGCTTCCTCAACGAAGCGCATTTCGCCTACTACGTGGCTGCAATCGAGTCTTGTGCAAGCAGGTGACCAGATCTTCTGCCAAAGTCATTCTTTGGTAACACACTACCTCTTTTGGCGGGAAATCCTATCATGTGGCTGAACTACCATAATTTGCGCATCCGTAAGCTTCCTCACGGATCTGTTCGAGTTAGCTCCATTCAAGCCGAGCAAAGAAGTTTGCCTGATGGCTGACTTATTAAATCACCCATGACGCCCGGTGCGTTTCTCGGAAGGAAACCACACGTGGATGGATTTTGGGTTGCCCCTTTACATGGTTTTGCGATTTGTGTGAGTGTTTTAGGAGACCTCCACGATCTACTAAACTCCCATGATGCAGCTACAATTGGGCAACACTACATACAAATTTCGTCGCTCCAATCGCGCATTGGCCATGCAAAATCAATACACCTTGCAGTACTTGCCAACGTGCCAGTGAACACCATGCATGCCCCTGATCATCAAAACTCCGATTTGCGGGAGTTGGGTACTTTATTTCTGCACGCTGAACGTTTTCGAACAAACATCGGCGCAATGGCCAACTAAGAGCTAAACCAAACAAATATGTTGGATTCTGCCAAAAATATTGTTTGTATTTTTGTTTTTTGTGGAGACCCCAGGTGTCCTGCTGAACAAAGTCGAAACCACCCTGAAACCCGCGGAGACATTGGAAGATTCGGGTTCCGTCCCGTGGGATGAAGCCAACCCAAGGGGCAACAGGGAACAGAACCTTGAGTCTGGCAACAGGCCCATGGGTCACAACCCCGTACCCGCAGTGAACATCCCAATCCCCACTAAAATAGGTTCTAAAATGGGTGGTGAATTCACCTATCCCAAAATGGGATCCCGTTTAACGGTTTTGAACCGTGGCAGAACATTTCAGCTGGCGCACCTTCTCACCGGACGTGCAGCTCCCGCGCTCTCTGCGCGGATCCGAATTCGAAGGATTCCTTCGGAACCTGTGGCCTTGTCTCCGGTGCATCCAGGCTTCGTTGGCGGGCGAAGCGTGGCAACATGACCAAACCAAGAAGTATGGATGATGGGACAACGGCTACCGTACAACACATACATACATACTCGGTTGCTTTCTGCTCCCCTGCTAAAAGTTTAACTTTTAGTGGTTTAGTGGAAAACCCATTAGTTGGCAAAAAGTTAAAGTCCTAACAGCCAAGCAAAATGCACCAAAGTATATATATATATATATATACACACAATATACATAATACGCAACTTCTCCTTTGCGTGCTTTTGGAAGGCGAACGCCTCGTTAAAACAATCACTCTGGCCAAATGCGTATCTTGCAGAAACACATCTTATACAAATTATATTGTATCATATCATCATATCCAACCATCCTCTTCCTGCTATGAATCGTGCCATCCTGAAGACCAGCGGCGGCCCATGTTTTTGGGGGTGGCAAGCCAGTCCCACAATGAAAGTGACGGCAAGGGCGAGAGCTCGTTTCCTTCAGGCGAGCTTCTTACAATTTGCCCAGCTTTCTTGTGCCGCCCAAGCCTCCCGAACCCTTTTTCCCCCTAAATGAGGGTAAAATCGGTGATCCCCCTGATTGTTGATCTGACTCACTGATTGTCCCGCGCCTGTCTGCACTCTGCTGAATTACTGTGAGACCGACCTTGGCCCACGCGCCAACCCCCGACCCACTGACCCGCTGACGTCTGCTTTCCGTCTGCTTCGCAGATCGCAAGCGTCTCTGCGCAGATCTCAACTCTGAGGGCTCCAACCACGTGGAACCAACGGGAAACAATGTCCATTCCCCAAAACCTATCCTTCCAGGACGCATTGGAGACTTCCATACTCTTGTCACTTTTTTCACTTTTGTCGCATGCGATGGCCTCTACTTATGTGAGACTACATCAATGACTTCGTCATCATCGAAGCCTTCTTCCTCGCTTTCCTCGAAATCCTGTCACGCGCCCATCCCCATTCATCCGCGCTCCCACACGCCCAAAACTTTACACCGGGAATAGAATATGGGGGAAGCCTTTTTCCAGGCTACTCTTTGTGGGGGCGTACTCTTGTTGAGGTTTATCCTTTGGGAATAATTCTTTAAGGGAAGCCCAAAGGAAACCCCCCACCGATCCCCACTATCAGGCAGTGCGACTGCGATCAACGGCCCCTTCAAGTAAGCGCAGGTTTCAAGTAGCGATTTAAATGTGTCCCAGGCTTGGCCAACGCTCAATCCCACACCTGAGACTCGTTTTTGCATTGTTCATCAGTTTTAGGTCAAGTGCAAATCAGATGTTCCCACACATCGACTCAGCGACAGGCTCGATCTGCCAATGGGGTGACGGCCCTGACAGTTCCGAGGCTGAGGATACTCCTTTGGGCTTCTTGCGAATTTGGGTGTCATATTCTTCACCTGAAGCAGGGTGGCCAACCTTTCTGAGGACGCAAGTAAATTTGCCTAATTAAGATCATGGGTTTGTCCTTGTTGGAGGCCCGATTTTGAACAAACCCAGCTCTTTGCCGAGTGAAGGCAACGACTGAAACAGAAAAACTGAACCTGGGCGTTGTGCAGCCCGGATTCAGCTGAGGAACCATTCTTGTGGGCCATGGTTACACCTTCCCTTCCTTGTGGCGGTCGTCTAAATTCTCTTGTACAGTGTTGATGATCACCCCCCCCCCCCCCCGGCATAAGTAGCACGTTCGGACAAGAAATAGAAACATGGCATGAAGCCTACATGAGGTGAGGCTCCTACCTGGGTTTCCCTCGTTGGTGAGGAGATCATTTCACAGGAATCCCCTCCTCCAAACGTGGGCTTCACAACCATGTGGATGTGACTCTGGATTCAAGACGGCCGAGTCTCAAATGAGCCGGCACCACCGCGTAGACATCATTGACATAGCGCCACCGTAGATAGCAATAGCCCGCACAACAGCAGCAGCAGCCGCCTCAAAAATCAGCCCATGTCTCAAGTTCTACCTCTCAAATCAAAGGGGAACTACTAAGTTTTGGGGGTTTATCATGTGTGCCATGATCAAACTCCCTGCCCGGGTGGCCATCGTTGCTAAATCCTGCACCATGGGAGATAGATGATAGGTCGATATAGGTCGATATAACTCAGCTATAGGTCAATTCATTCGGGGACTTGTTTAATGGGTTCTAAAAAATAGGTTCCTTTCAGATGCTACGCACATGATACTGGGATTCCAACGTGTACAAACAAATGTTTCACCAAATGTGGGGAATTGGCAAACCGTTTGCTCAACGGAAACCGAATCCCGGGGACAAGGACCCCTGGAAGGCCTGCGGTGTATTCGATGGGAGGTTTTCACCAAGGTCCCGTCGGACAGCTACATGGCTATAGGTCGATATAGGTGACCCCCACACAAATTGACCATCCACCGAGCCACTAATCAAATCAAACATCCTTTTGCGGAAGACACATGGTGTTCCTTTGATTTCTCTGACAATCTGAGATTCGGGCTGCAACCTGCCACGATGGCAATGAAGGCCTTGAATCCACGGGCGAATTGACGCAGCGCGGATTCGCGACCTACGGGGTCCCCTGAAGAATGGAGGTCCAGAAGTCGCCCAACACAAAAAGACCAACCATAAGCCAGCACGAACCACTTTCAATCCACCACAAACCACAACCACCACCACCCACCCACCACCCACCCACCACCCACCCACCCGCCCACCCACCACCCACCCACCCGCCCACCCGCCCGCCCGCCGCCGACCATGGGAGTTGGGTTTGGGTGGGGGCAGCGGGATGGGAGTGGAGTGGGGGTGTGGGCTGTAGTTGGGTGGAGCTCGAGCTGGTGAAGTTCGCTCCAACTCCCAACCCGGCCCCAACCACCCCAACACCACCCCAAAATCATCCCGCTCCACACTCAACTTGACCCTTTTGAGGTGAGGTGGAGTCGGATATGTTGGGGCAAGTCGGAGTTCCACTCTCCTCACCACCCCCAAGTCCACAACCCCCCAATTCCACCACTACCCAACTCCATCCCAACTCCAACCCAAACCCGCCCCCTGCACAACTCCACCCCTCCACCACGCCAGTCGCCACACACCAGCACACCCACCACTCCAACTCCACCCCAACTCCACTCAACCCAACTCCAGCTATCCAAATAGGGAACTATGCGAATTTGTGTTGACCCTTTTTGGAAGGTGGTTCCAAAAGGGCAACAACAACAGCAACAGCAACAGCAACAGCAACAGCAACAGCAACAGCAACAGCAACAACCACAACCACAACCACAACCACAACCACAACAACAACAACAACAGCAACGGCAGCCACAAAACCACCACCACCAACAACAACACCACCACCCCCAACAACAACAACACCAACAACACCAACAACACCAACAACACCAACAACACCAACAACACCAACAACACCAACAACACCAACAACACCAACAACACCAACAACACCAACAACACCAACAACACCAACAACACCAACAACACCAACAACAACAACACCAACAACACCAACAACACCAACAACACCAACAACAACAACAACAACAACAACAACAACAACAACA